TATTTTTTCCAACTAAGTTTTTATTTATCTCATCTGTAATAGTATTATAAAACTCTTCTAAAGGAACTGCTTTAATATCTTTTTGTTCATTAAATGAAAACTTACTTTTTCCATACACTGAAGGGATCAAAGTATATTAATTCATATTATAATTTTATTGAATTAATTCTAATTGTTTTCCACTTAAAGTTTCTAATGTTCCAGTTACACCTTTGATTATGAAAAACTTTTTAGGTAACTCTGAATAGCTAAAGCTACCGCAGTTAATTTTAAATACTTTTTATTGCTTTAGGCTAAAATTTGAAATTCTTGATTTCTAATTTTCAAGATAGTAGGTGTATAAAGTTCTATATCCATATGATATATTATCTAAATACTAATCTTAGTTTTTATAGTTTATTTTGTCATTTTGAATTTTATAATTTTCAACAATTATGTTGTTGAAATTTTTAAAATCATGAATAACTATTTTTGTTTATTCTTATATTAATTCAGCCTATTATTCGAATTTTTCTATGCACTATTTATACTCCTCAGATTGAGAAATATTTTCAAAGCTAAAATTCAAATCAGATTTATCGCTCCAAATTTTATCTAGCAGGTTTTCAACTGTTACATCTTAGATTGGTGCTACAATTTCATAGTTGTTTCCAAAAAAATCTTTACTAAAGAAAACATCAACTTCATCTATTAAAAGAACTTATTTCTTTGGTTTCTAAGTTTTGATGTTTTTTATTTCACCTGTTTAAATGTAGTTAGAAACTTATTCTCTGATATTTGCTCTTTCATTTAGTATTTCTTCACATACTCTGTTGAATGTATTATATAAAATATAATCCTTTATTTTTAATTTTTCGAATAAAGGTAAGAACTCTTCATAATCTCTATTACTAAGTTAATTACTATAGCAAGCACACATCACTTAAAATCCACAAAGACTATAAAAGCAAGCTAGAGCAGCTAAAATAACTGACTTACCTTCTCCTGTCAAAACTTAGGCTAAGCTGTTTTTCTAGATTTTTGAATAATCTATGGAATAACCTATTGATAAAAGTCTAAAAATTGCAATTACTTATGCTGCATGAGGTTTTAGTAAAAAGCTTTATTATTTTTCATAGGATTATTAAATGGATTCAAAATAATACTTTGAATTAATACAAGTCCAACAGCAGAATATCCCAGCTAAAAGATCAGAAACAATACCCAAACATTTTTATTGTATTTATCCAGTTTCCTAAAAGTATTTCACATTTATTTAACCAACTGAGGTTTAAATATCTCTCAGTAAATTAATAAAGTCTATTTTATCAAATTTGGTTAAGTATTTCTCTTAATAGCTATTGTACTTTATCAAAAATCTTTAGTAATAGTCATTTAACTAAGTTTTATTTAAATCATTTGTTTTACTTTTACCAGAGTAGCCTTTTATTTATTCAATGACCTCATCAATACCAAATCTTTATATCCTTAAATTTGTATTGCTAATCTAAAATCCTTTGAAAAAAGGGTTGGATTACATTATTTGATCACCATACTTAGTTTTACTTAATAAGATTTATAGCTTTTCTAAAGAACCATTAGAATTTTTATAATTTAATAAGACTTTATTTATATTTTTATCACATTCCTTTTTAACTTATTGCATATAGATGTAAGTTTAAGATATCCTATTCATATTAGATAAATACTCTGTAATTAAGTTAATGTCTTGATTTTCAACTCTTAAGGGCTCTTAAAACTATTCTTTAATTTATTTTATAAACTGTAATTCTACATATTTCTTGTCAATGTGATTTTTACCTTAATTCCATTAAGACAAATATTCATCAATATATTTTGAGTTCAAATATACATTGTTAATTCTTTTAACAACATCTTCTTCCAAAAAATCACATTAAAAGCATTATTTCATCTCTTAATCTATTAATGAATTAATTTAATTTAACTTCTTCATTAGCTATTCAATTAGTGTTTTGTTAAAACAATTTAAATTACACTTTTCTTCTAAAGTTAATATTCCTTAAGCATTACTTAAACTATTTTAGAAAGACTCATAGTACTTTTCATATTCATTCTCAATTTTAAATGCAGTAATATCCTATTTGATTATTGATTCAATATATTACTTCAGTTTTTCTTGCTTAGAATTCAAAGCTATCAACAATTCACGATACTATTCTAGATCAAAGCTTTAAAGGTAATATACAATACAAAATTGATCTATGCAATTTGAAAAATCTTGCTTAGATAATTAAATTTTGTTGACTTTTTATTTAATTTCATTTATGACATCTGATTTCAATTTCTAAACAGAATTAAAGATATAGAAACTTTCAATTCCATTAAAAAATTTTTACTCACATTCTTGCAATTTGTCATTATAAACTTTTATTAAAGAATTACTTAATTCACAATAATTAGAAAAAAAGTCTAAACAATCTTTTTCATAGCTAAAACTATTTTTCAATATTTATTAATATAAACAATCAGCCATTTTAAATAAATCATTAAATATCTATTCTAAAACGCTATTTAACTTATCTATAGAAATGAATTAGAAATCTTAGGGAATACTTAAGCCAAACTTTATCAAATTTAAAAGGCTTTTCTCAAAGTTAATGTAATTTTTATTCTGACTATATTAATTAATTTGTTTGAATAAATTCTCGTTTTCTTTTGTTATAAAATCTTCAAGATCGATGTTAAATTATTTATAAAAACTTGAATCTGCCAAACTTGCTTTAAGTTTCTTTAATCCTTCAATATTTTTTTGTCTAATGCAAGTATCTATTTCTTACTTTATTTTATCAGTATTTTTTATGGCATCTATTTATTACTTGAGACTATTTTCCATCTCTTAGGGGATATATTCAAAAAACTACTGAACCTCACTAATAATTTTTTCTTGCTAATTAAGAGGCTTCTCTTTAGTTTTTCCCAGCATATCTTCCAGTTTTTTTTAATAAATGCCTTTAAGAGTCTTAGAAAAGGCTTAAATATTATCATCTTCTACCTATTCTAACTTGCTACATACAGATTTTAAATTAAATATCTCTCGATTTGTACATTCCAACTTTAAATTCTCAACTAGTAATTTCAATTCTTCTTAACAATTTCCTTATATTTAACTTAACTAA